GCAGGTCTATGTCTAGATGGAGTCCTGATAGCTAGAGAAACTATCACTACTGTTTTTTGTTAGGTAAAATGAAAATAAAGGTGCAAAACTTTTGTAATTCTAGAAGATTTGGACCATTTGCTAAACTATTGTTCATTAGTGGTGAAGGGCTAAGCAGAACTGTAAAAATATGGAAATCCACAACTCTGTAGTAAATGGTCATGATTCTGGACTTAAATATAAATCCATTATTTATGTAGCTAGTAGGAATTAGTACAGTCAGCCACTAGTAAGGATGCAAAACAGATACCTTCAAGTTTTGAAAAAAGCCTTATATTTGAGTAGATTTGGAGGAATTTTCTTGACAGTGGCTTTCCTGGGAAATGGAGATGGAGAAGACTCACCACCAGGTACACCAGGAGTTCTCAGCTAAGCATGAGGGGAATAAAAAGCATAAAATCTCAAAAGGAACAAGAGGGTCTCTAGAAGTTGTCCTTCCATCTAGGCTGTTTGGGGCTTACTAAGTTGAGCAATGTTTTATGTTTTTTCAAATATTTGAGATAGAGGAAGGACCACTTCCATTCTGTAGCAGTCTTTGTAATAGGAGGTACAGAACTGTAGACATACACATCAGTTTTTCCCACTGAATTTCAGTCTCAATGTCTTCTCAAGGGATTGTTGCAAAACAAGTATCCAGCAGACTTACTAATAAGATACACAAATGAAACATTGAAAACAAGCAGAGACAGCGTATGAGAGACCAAAGCACCCTGCTGTGTTAGCATCCCTGAGTACCACAAGTCATTCTTTTATCTGTAAAGGAATTAAATACCTTTTGAGTCATAATTAATTCTGAGTTCTTGTTCTTTTCAGATTATTCCTGGAAAACCAAAGCTCCTCGTGCTCAGTTACCAGGTCCGACTTTCAATTCAGCAGCAAAAAACATAACTATTTTAACTCGCCCACCAACAATTCAGCCAGTACATGGAAGAACAGACTGGGTGGCCAAATACGGAGGAAACAGATAGAAAATACCATCCTGTAGAGATATTCTGTATGCTGTGTTCAGTTCTCCTGCACTGGAAACCTGAAATGCCTATTTGCTCTAACTTTTCCTAAGAGCTATGCAATAGTAAAGAAGAGAAAAAAGACCTTGTGTTCTATTACCCGTGGAAGAAAAATATAATATGTATAATCCCATGTAAAATCCTGTCTGTGAAGTAGGATTTACTGAAGTATTGTATAACACATATTGCCAAAACTTCTGAGAAGTAGATTTCACTGGAAGGTTTTCTATAGATGGATCTCCTAGTCTTAAAGCAACTCTTATGGTTGTTTGCCCAGTGCAGTGTCCACTAGTGGCACACGCTTGTCTTTCATGTACACAAGCAGCTAGAACCATGGCTAAAGCAGAGCAGCACCAGGCTTTCAGGTGTTAGGCTGGGTCCTTACCAGAAAGAGGAGAGTGAAAGCACAGATTGGGCGTGGTGGAGAACACCACGTTCTCGTACAAGGATTTCAGAGCTCACTTGTACCTAAGACTTAGGGTCTGTAATGTGCAAATATACATAATAGCAAGGAGAACTTAACTCCTTGTAGTAGGACATAAGCAATCCACTGATAAATACTACACAAGGAAGGTCTAAAAACCTGGCCCATATATGGCTATAGAATGATAAAGCAATATTGGAAAAACTAGCTAAACAAGTACTGAATGCCAGACTCACCTTGCCAAGCTGTAGTGAAGCCTAAAAATTAGATTCTACTGTTATAATTAACTTATGACCATTTTTGGTCAAAGGTCTGTGGAAATTTGTATCTGTCCTGTCAAGGGAGTGTCACAGTGACATTTTAAGGAGCCTGAATCACTAGAGTCTGTCAAGTCATTAGCCAAAAAGGCATAAATTGTCAGCAAACTCCTGTTGCTACATGTCTCTATGGGGTGATCAAACTAAACTACAGAAGCTGAATAAGGTACATGAAGGAGGGTATTGGGCTGTTCTTCAAAGACATTACTTTCTGGTTGAGATTTTAAAGGCCAACTTAGGTACCTGAAAACACAGACAAACTCAATAATGCTATACCTCACTGTCTATATGTTCATTCAGTACTTTCCCAGGCTTCTAGGCTAAGTTTTATAGTAATATCCCACAGAGGACCTCGCAATGTACAATAAATTGGTTTTAGGATGTTGATCTAGGCTACTTCTGTTAACAGCTGCATTTAGAATAGATGCTTTAGACTCAGTAGTTATATTAACCTGCCATTTTAATGTACAAAATGAGGATGTTCTGATGTAAAGCTGTTAATGATTACTTTAAGCATTGTAAAAAAGAAATGTATTTGTATTGCTTTTATAACTGCATATAAAAAATTCAATTCCTATTGTTGACCTAATGTGCTAGAATGTATGGGTGATGTTAACTTACATGAAGTCACTTTAATCTAAAACAGTCGTACCAAAAAATATTTCATTACTAAAATTCCACCTAAAGAAAATGCCACTTTAATAGTGGAACTATATAGGGATAACTGGTTCGTAATGCACTAGAGACTAATTCAGTTGCCATTGGTCTAGACTTAAGTATTTGCCATTCCCTTAGCACTGACTGATGTCCCTATGCTTTTTAAATGCATCTTTATTTATCTGTATAGATCTGTAATGGGCTATGGCAGTGAAGGACAACCTCAGGCTTTCTGTAACAGGCATAAATGCACTGGGTTTATAATTAAAAAGCAAATGAAATTAATCACTCATTTCTAGTACAAGATGCCAGCGACTTAGTTAAAACCACTGGTCAAGGAATTAACAAATAATGTGTCCACAGCTCACATATCCCTAAGTCACCTAAAGCAGGTACTATTTATAGCTCTAAATATGGCTAGAAGAAACATGCTGTCCTTACCCTATGGTAATGAACATGGCAAGTGCTTTGACATAACCATGCCCATAATCAAAGCATGACAAGCGGGAAGGAATTCTTTAAGCAGCAAGAAGAAACAATGCTAAGAGGGTTTGTACAGTCACTTTAACTCTGATTCATTGATACACATCCAGCTGTTAGTGCAGAAATGCCATCTAATGCTTAAGAAATTTATTATATGCTGATAAAGTTCCAAGGCAGTAAAAACTATATAAGGCTCCAGCTTTTCTCTCCTCCCTCTGCTACCCATTTGTCCTGAGAGTGGAAAGTGGTAACAAGAGTTCTACCAGCAATTCTCAATTCAAGCTACTGCTTTCCAAAGCTCATAAAACAGCAGCAAGACTTTACACTTTGGTCTAAGGGTTTAAAAGCTCATCAGTCCAATTTTCTGCTTTCTATTGTCTTTATTCCATTGAAGGACACTTGCAGCCCAAATTCAGGAGTTACCTGATTTGAGACCAGCATTACACAATTAGAAAACTGCTGGATCGTGCCTGTTCTCAGGTTATTGCAGGAGATGCATTTACGTTTCCATCTTACTTCTACAGAAGAGAAGTGCTTCAAAAGCAATATGAAGAGACAAATAATCCATACAGTAGTTTGAAGTGTCTTAAATGCTCATGTCTGGCATATTAACCTTTTCAAGCTCGAGCAAAGATGTTCAGACACCTGCCCACCAACGCTGGCTCCACAGCCTCAAATTAGGCCCTGAAAAGGATGATTTATCAGCACAACATCTGTCCTGCACACCCCTTGTTTCTGTGCAGGGAGGTAAGGGGGAAAAGTAAATACAGGTGAGCAGCTGAACTCTGTAGGCTCTAGGAAGGTGCCCTGAGTACAGTTCCCCACCCCAAGAGCTCTCGCTGCCTGTGCTCGAGCCAGCTCTGAGCAAACCCAAGTTGTGTGGCCTGGGCTTCGAGAAGCAGGTGCTCATTGCCCTGTCCTCTGTAGCTGCAGTGATGCTGAGACCCTTGTTGGAGTTGTGCCCATGCCTGGCCATGTTCCTGCTGATCTGGAACCCAACCTGCTGACTTGGCATCCTGGCTCATCACTGTGACTTGCTGGCAAACCATGGCGCTGCTGGCAGAGCCCGACTAGCTCCGTGCCCCCTGCTAAGGTAGAACTCTGAGCAACTCACTAATCTAACAGACCAACCCCACTGCTGCCACCTCACCTGGTAACAGCCACCAAAGAAGAAAGGTTGAGGAAATGAAAGTTCAGGATCTGTGCAGACAAGGATATAAATGAGACCAGAAAAGGGATACGTTACCATCTGTGTGTAGCTCCCAGGATGACTTCTGCGTGGCAGGTTTATATTTAGAAAGATTTCAGGCATCAAGGGAATCAACTGAGGACAAAGACTGATCAACTGAGCCCTTCAGTCTTTAAAGAAACTTTCAGAGAGCATTTTTCAAATCTGAAATAGATTATTTCTCCCAAGGAAAAAAAAAAAAAAATGTTAACACTTTTCTGAATATATGGTCTGTATGATTTTGTTCTCTACACTTCCTCCCAGTTCATGGGGATTTTTATATTTACAAGTCACTATATTCAGGGAATGGAATAGAGAGAGTTTTTTTACAATTCACGTTCACAAATATATGCAAACAGTCTGCAAGAAAGGCACCAAACTGTATCAATCCGGATGAACAATTAAAGAAAAAAAAAATGTTGTGTACAATGCAAAAGTTTGTAATAATAATTTGCTTGTTTATTTAGAATAACATTTTCATCCTCATGAAATGCAAGAGCTATGCCTACAATTCAGCGTCATCTAATAAAGCACATTTTTGATTTATGAATCATGATCTGTGAAAGTGAAACAAATGACATTTAGCTGGGCACTTTTGTTTACAAATAATTGCAAGTAACAGGTTTGCGTTCGTTGTGTGACAACAGAACCTCGACAGCCTGCTCTGTGATTGTGATCTGCGGGACCGGGTTCTCACACACAGCGCTGGGAGACCAAAGTCCCTGACTGACAAACATCCTGACCGGATAAACTGGCAGGGAAGTGGGAGGGGAGAGATAACGTAATAAGCATGTCTGTTATCTTAATTACTAGTGACAAACTGGCAACTCCTCTCCCCTTGTTTTAGAAGTATAGATGAGTTTAGAATGACAAGTCCGGATGTACATTTAAGCTCCAATCCTGCCACCATCTGCATGCAAGTGCCAAGAGGTCTTTGCCTACAGTAAGTTGCAGGACCAGAAGCTAAACTGATGCTATACTGATATTTTCTTGCTTCACAGTGCAGAAAATGTTAAAACAAATACCATTTTGGAAGACATAACAAGGGCTCTCGATGTCAGTTCTTTAAAAACACAACCCAGGTGTCAGGATATGAAAAATACAATGCACAGACAGCAGTGCCTTTTCCACTTTTCTGTAGCACATTTAGGCAGCAGCATCTTCAGGCTTCTCAATCATGTCTCTTCAAGTAACTTGATGCAGACTTATGGCTTAAGAGGCTTTTCCATGATCTGCAATCCAAGCCGTCCAACCATCAGTAAACTGTTGAACAGAATAGTTGTTATTTAAAAAAAAAAATTAAAAAAAAATAGAGGGGAGACAAAAATTCCATGAAGAACAAGAAAACCCTGACATGGTTTCATTTAGCCAAACTCCACAGAAGATTTCATTTTCACAGAACTTACCACTTAACATTTTTAAAACACTATAATCCACAAAAAAGTCCAATAAAATGCTTATTCAAGAATACAAACAAGAACAAATGACAGGGGACTACCTGGCACCGGCGATTATCCCAGGCATTGCTTTTCTGGAGTTGTAAAATCTCATTCCCATCACAGTAGACAAGGTTCCGGATGCCACTGTTGAAAAGAAGCCCAGTCAGATCTATTTGAAAGAGAAATACCAGCGCAGCACTGCAACGCTTGGACATTGAGCGGTGCCAACACACAGGAACACCTCCCCCCTCTCTGCAAGGAAATGGATCCAAACATTTTATTTAACTTATTTTTGTTGAACACTAGACCCGTTGCAAACTTCTCAGCAGCTTTGGTAAGCATGCTCCACTTCTCATTAGAAGCGAGTAGATCTCACCAGAGCTGAGATCACTGTCTAATCACCCACAACCTCCAATCCTCTGGGCAGATCACTAACTCTCCCCCAGCTTCTCCTCATTTGCAGAAGAATTATTATTTCCTCGAATACAGATAGGCTCAAAACTGACAGAAAGCTGGGATACTGTACTACCCTAAATGGTACAACTAGAAACAAAACAACCTCACCTGAAAACATGAATTAGCAAACAGAAATCAGCCTAAGGGGTCAAACTGAAAGAACAACTAATATTTTAAATTATTCCAAATGATCTAATCTCTACGTACGGAAAAAAAATCCCATCAGTATTCACACAAAAGTTACAGGGACGTTGTTTCTTCAAAGAAAAGGCAGATGGAGGTGTTGTATACCTTTCTCCAAAGCTTTAAGTTTGCTTGCATCAGACAGGGCAAAAGATATTCTAAAGATATTCCTTCTGTCCAGGTTATTTTTCTGGATTCCTACCAGTGATGTACTGTGTCCAAGCTTTCCTTCACACTGAGCTGGGTTTGACATTTCATTCCTTACTAACAAGGCAGTTTGGTCCTCTGTAGTATCTACTGGGGCTTCATAAAGCCTTTCAGCACATGAAGTGATCGAGTCCTGTTGGTTTTAAATAGTCTTAAATCACTGCAATGCTGTAGTATCATCACACTAATACTACTATGGTGTAGTTACAGAACTAGAAAGAACCTCAGGAGGTCATCTAGGCCAGCCTAGTGCCCAAAGGCAAGATCAGTTCCTGGCAGACACCAGTCTAACCAGTTACTGAAGACCTGCAGTGATGGAAGTCCCTGAGGTTGACTTAATTATCTTCCAGTGCTTCATAATACTACCCACTGTCATTTTATCCTTCTCCTTCACCTGAAGAGTTACCTGAAAGCTAAGGTCACTTCTTATCCCATCTACTGCAAGCAAGAATACCTTATTCCCTCTTTTTATAGACTTCAAACTGTTTCTTCCACAGCATTTGATGCATTAAAACACATACTGCTCTTCTTCTGAGATCCCTGTGCAAACCAATATTCCATAAAGCCACATACTGCTTGTCACAGTGCTGTCACTGTTGCTAAAATGCCTATTCCACAATCACAGGACAAAATTGCTGCTTCACAACCCAACATTTTTCACATAAGTTCCACGTGCCTATGTTACTTTAACATGGTTATCTAACCTGGCAGAGGAGATCGATACTTCTCACCATCTCTGACTTCCAGGAGGACAACCTAGGTCTCAGAACCAGGTACTGTGCTCTTACACAAATACCTCCTGGCAAAGGGCAGATGGCCCTGCCACCACTTACAGCATTTGTACAAATAAAAGGGCACAAGGCAGCTGAAATGTGCTAGAAAAAGGGTTATTACTCCCACTACTACCAATAATACTTAACACATGGGTGCTGAACGAACTTACCGAGGGAAAGCCACACATTCTTTGGATCTTTGGACTGCTGGTAAGCTCCTAGCCCTGCCAAGCCGCCAAAGAGAAGACCAGCAGCTAGAGAAGGGACACTGCCTTCAATAAATGAAAAATAAAGCATTTAGTGAAAGAACACGTACAAAGCAAGTCTGCAAACCAAGCAAAAGCACCTGCGAGTTCACACTCACTACTAAAAGGGGAAAAAAAAGTCACAAAAGCAATTTAAACCAAACAGAAGACACGGGGGTGGGGTGGTTTTACTAGTAAGATGCTTTCCAGGCTCCAGCCGAGCACCGGTTCCACCACACGGGTTCAGCACGGTTCTCCCGCAGCGGACCAGGCCACTGCTGCGGAGCTTCCCGCGGGGAGGGGACACTCCGACCGCCCGGCCCGGGAGTTCAGGCCTTGAGCTCGGCCCGGCAGCGAC